GAAATGGCCGAACTGACACCAATTGAACCTGAAACTGTAAATTTGAATTTATGCAGTCAAGTGCACATTCTAATTCTCCATCACAATGAATTCTATTCTCACAATCACTTCTATTCTTACAGTCAATTCTGGTCAGAGCTGACTGCTTGAAAGGTTGTTAAAGGCCACAATAATAATAATAATCTTTATTTGTAGAGCAAGTAAGTGCTTCAACAAGTGCAAAGACAGCAATACAATACCCAAAAGACAACAATACAAGCAAGAAAACATTGAAAAGACCAAAATACACGTTTAAGATAAATATAAAATAAGTAAAATAGAATAAAATAAAAGGGATAAAATAAAGTCAAATAAGATCGGGAAAGGCTCTCCTATAAAATTATATTTTAAGAAGGGACTTAAAAGAGTTCACTGACTCAGCCGACCTGATAAAAGTTAACATAATGTAGATTGAATTTTTGCTATATTTCTAAGTTGATAAAAACATGATTGAACAAGCTTTGTGGTGCTGCTCGAAATTTAATTTATTATTTATTACTATCAAACCAGACACCAAGGTTCTTTGCAACAGGTTTAATGTGATTAACTAGGGAACCAGCAGATGGCAGTATTTGTTTTCCATCTGCTGGGATCCGTTAAGTGAACTCAGCATTCCAGGATCTGTGGATCTGACGGGCAAGTACATTTGTGTGTCATCAGCATAAATATGAAAAGAAATAACATGTTTATGGATAATATGTCCAAGGGGAAGCAGATACAACGAAAACAAAATGGGTCCTAAGACCAACCCCTGAGGCACACCATATTTAACTGGACAGAATGAAGAGACATAGTTGTTTATAGACACGTAAAACTTCCTATTTGACAGGTAGGATGAAAACCATTCTAGGCAGTACCAGAGATGCCCACCCAGTGCCTCAGTCTGTCTAACATGATTTGTGATCAATGGTGTCAAAAGCAGCGCTAAGGTCCAGGAGTACCAGGACTGAGCACATGCCTTCATCAGCAGACATTAAAAGGTCATTGGTGACTTTAAGCAGGGCAGTCTCAGTGCTGTGGTACTTCCTGAAACCAGATTGAAACTTTTCAAATATTTTGTTATTTTCCAGTACAGTGAGCAGCTGTTTGGACACAATTCTTTCTAGAATCTTTGCAATAAAAGGCAGTTTTGAAATTGGTCTAAAATTTTGTGGGAGGGAGGGATCTAAACCAGGTTTCTTTAAAAGCGGGTTCACGCAAGCCATTTTAAAATAATCAGGGACACAACCAGTAGATAGGGAGCTGTTAAAAACAGAGATCAAAGACAAGTCAATGGGATAAAACTGGTTAAAACTCTCTTGTTGCTGGTGAGGGACCTCTGAGTAAGAGGCAGTGGGGGTAATAGAGGCTCTGATTGACACCACCTTATTGGTAAAATAAGATAAAAACAATTCACAGTCATCATTACTTCCAGCTGAGGCACAAGGAGGGGTTGGGTTTACCAGCTGATCACAGTCTTAAACAGAAACCTGGGATTGTGTTTATGTGTAGTAATGAGTTCAGAAAAATAGTGTATTCTCACATCCTTAACCATGTTATTGTAGTTAATTAATTAATCCTTCAGACTGAGGTAATGGACTTGGAGACTGGATTTTTTTCATCTGCGCTCTGCTTTCCTGCATTCCCTTTTTAGGGTTGCTTACTAGCTTTAGACGTATGCCTAACCTTTAGAGGAGCAGTAATATTTAGTGACAACAAGCAGATATGATTGAAGTGATCGCCCAGATTGTTGGTGTTGGAATCAGACAGGTGTTGGCTTTGGCTCTGAAAGAATGTGCAAAACTTTGAAACGCTTTGTTCATTAAAGATGCAAGAACACACAGAGCTTGGTGAGGCGGCATGAGTACATCAACAATACATCTGTGGTAAGATATTGTCATGTCCACTAATTCCACAGAGGAAATGCTGACACCCAGGGTAAAAACCAAGTCCAGTGTAGGACCACGGTTATGTGTTTGCCCTTTGACATGTTGTTTGAAGTTAAAAGAAGTGGCCATATTTAAAAAGTCAGTTGGATTAACATTGGTGGGGTCATCAACATGAATATTAAAATTGCTACAAAGAACAATTCTGTCATAATTTAAAACCAGACTAGATAAAAATTCAGGAAGTTCTGATAAAAATCCTCCAGGCGGTTTTGGGGGGCCATAAATTATAACAAATATGATAGGTTGCAGCCCTCCAACTTTAAGAGAGAGAACTTCGAAGGAGTTAAATTCATCACAGCGTACTTGATGACATTTAAAATTTTTCCTATACACGCTCACTAGCCCACCACCACGACCACTGACCCTCGGTTGACACAGTTCAGCTAGCTGGCTATAGTCATTCATTTGCAACCATGATTCAGTTAAAAACATAAAATCTAGATTTGCAGACAAGATAAAATCATTTAAGATAAAAGTCTTACTTGACAGTGATCTCACATTGAAGAGAGCCATTTTAAATGCACTGTAAAAAGATCCTTTGTCCGTGGGAGGCCTAATTCAGTAGGAGCATTTTGAAAAGTATCTCGTTAACGTTACATTACCGGGTTCTTTATCGTAACGTTATATCTGTCTGTTTAAAAATGTTTAACGAGTATGAGTAATGAGTAACGTTAGCTGAACGGAGTTTATTTTACTCACCAGTTGACGTTGTACTAACGTTAACATTACAGCTAACGTTGTCGTTAGCCGTAACCGTTACTCCTTAAACTTCCGTCAAGTCAGCCAGCCAGCCTCTAACGTTAGACGTTCTAACAGTTAACCGTTGGAGGTTAGCTAACGGTTAGAGGCAAAGGAACACAACTGACGTGACATTATAACATTGAAATATTTAAAAATTAAATGAAAACAAAAACGGTTAAAACTTTTGGTATAATGCTATGAATTTAAATAATCAATAGTACATTGTTCAATAACCAGCTAACGTTAGGTTTATACATTTTAAGCTTAACTTAATGTTAGATAAACGTTAAGTTATAACCATAACATTACACAGTTAAGTTAATGTTAACCACTATCTTTTTATCTTCTACCTTTCTTCTAACGTTTATGTTGACTTGTTTTTTTTCTCCTTTGTCCTTTTACCGCCACTTACAACAAAAAACATATCCCCTCCCATTGGTCATTTTTTCGCGGGCAGGTTTATTACTGTAAATGCATTTACAGTAGAGAAGAATTACAGTAGTGACAGAATAGTTTCCCATAATCCTTTGCTATTTACAGTAATATACTGTGAAGTATATATCTGGTATTTTACTGCACACATATTACTGTACATATTACAGTAAAATACTGTTCAAAATACAAAAAATCAGTTACAGTGTGAGTTTGTTCTAGGTGCTGGAGTTGGTACAGTTGTCCTAATCCTTATAAGATTACTATTATTTCTTTGTGGGATGTGCACATTTCGGTTTACTGGTCTATGCGTGATGATGACAGGAATAGAAGTCTTTGGAACAGCGCTGGGAGCAGACGGCTTTACATGCCAGGAGGTGGAGACAGTTGTTTGTGGCAGTGAGGCAGAGATCTGTTCAGTGACCGGTGGTGTGTCCAGGTGTGCTGCATGAATGATTAGTCATTCACGTAAGTCATGTGTGGACCGTACCACATGCTGTATGTGAGCAGCTAACATTTCTGAGCCCCGTTTGTTTGGGTGAAGTCCGTCTGTCTTAAAAAGAGACATTCTTTGCCAGAAAATATTAAGGTTATCGACACACACCCTGAGCCCTGCAGGCGGACTGGAGCCAGTCGTGGAGGCCAAGGAGTCTACTGAAGCGGCCAAGTTAAAAAGATGGTTAAAATCTGATTTTGTCAGCTCAGACTGCTGAAGAGCTGTGTCATTTGTTCCCACATGGACTATCACTCTTGTAATGGAGGACGGGGGCGATGGCATTAGGTCCTGGAGTTTTTTAAAACATCTTAGTTGCCCCATCACTAACATTCCAAACACCAGGTTTGAACGTGCTATCGCTGATAGCTGACAGGTATATTTATAGAGGAACCTACACTCAAAAGCAAAAAATTATAATTTGAGAAACACACATTTTTTTTCATAATCAAGCCCGACACTTTATGTATGTAGATGAGGAGTAGTGTGTCAATAGTTTGACAGTTGACCGAGTTCACCAAACGAGTATGAGGCAAAGTTCTGTTTGGCTGGAAAATACTCCAATAACATCATGTGTGAAAATGAAAGCAGTAGTCATTCAGTGCATATTATCAGAAAGGCTGCTGATATAGACATCTCTGTCTACATTGGTTTTTGGTTAAAATGTGAAAATCATTGTGATTGAATAAAATATAATGGATCACAACACACAACATAGTTCAACGTGTCCTTAAATAAGTGCTTTATTATTTTCCATCATCACACAATGACTCCACTTGACCCTTCCTTCTTAATATCCAAGTCATTCAAATTGTAAACAATTCATGCTGTGCAGGGCAAATTCTGTGAAAAAATAAGTGAACTAATTTAAACATTTCAATGATAAAAAATATGCCACTTGCTAAACATGATAAGCAGTGAAGAAAGATATAATACAGCAAAAATCTATATTATTATACTATTGATATGGTGGCAATGAAATTGCACAAAATGTGAGCAGCATAAATAAAAGTTCAATATTGTGCCTACCAACATGTGCATGGATATAAATAGACAAATATCTGTTTACAGTAATCCAAATACACAGCAAATTAAATAATGATGAATTTTTAATCATTTGAAAATGAAATTCTTCACTTAATTTTTTTTCTTCTTGCTGCATAAAGCAAAACAGTCTGGTAAAGATGATTATGTTGATCCAGGGGCGAGACCTCATACTGCAACCCATAAAACGGTACAACTGGTGTATTTTGCAAACAGTAGCCTACTTAGTTGGGTCAAAAATCTAGTCTACACTGTATACTGTATCGCAATGGCTAATGCCTAGAAGCTAGGAGCCAACCAACAAGGAGAGGGCGATACTGCAACAAATTGAATTGTCCTTTTCTCGCAGAAGAAGACGCAAGCGGCCGTACAACATCACAGAAGACCTCAGTAGTGTGTTATAAAAATAACATGACCAAGGTTATATAGTAACACCATTTGACAAACATCTTATCTCGGTAAGAAGAAGAGGACAGCACTTGTATGTGTCTATTATGTGTCTGTGTCAAATAACAAACCGGCGTTGACTTGCTAGCAGCTTTAGCTGGAGAGCTAACTATTAGCCGCATGACAGAGGAGGCTATTCCAAACTCCGTTTAAAATAATCACAATATTACACAGAGCCGCTTTTTGATCAGGATGTAACGTTTTAGGATCGGGCTGCCTCTTATTCCTTTCATGATCGTGAACTGAAGGGCACTCCGGTTGGTGGCAGCGAACAATATCACTAATACTGAGGTCTTGAGGCATGTTTTCAGTGTCGTTTGGTGACATGTTCCTGGTGTGAATGTGAAGGTATGCTGGACTATTACATAAGCGGAGTTTGGCGTGCGGTGCCATCCCAGCCAGAGGGGTGATGTTTTAGTTAAACGGCATTGTTGAGGGGCTCAGCTGTTGAATTTACAGCTGCTGTACCGGGGATTTTATAAAGCGAAAGGGATAAATATATTAACTGCCGATATTGATATATGTGATTTATAAGTAACGTTAAATGACAAGCGGTGGGCTCCCACAGCTAATGCCAGATGTTCTCTGCTCTTTTCGGAAATCCGCCCAGGTCGAGATGAGCGTCCCCTGTTTCTTGTCATCAGCTGCCCGAAGCTTCTGCAAACCTGCCGGTCTCCTCTGCTGCCGGATTCTGGGCCCCAGCTCCTTCACAAGGTGAGTTTCATTGAAATGTACCTGGCTGCTCACTCCTGGGACACTGTAAAGACTGACACCAAGGAAACTATAATTAAATTGTGATTTTTTAACTTAAAGATATGCTTCACCCAAATCACGAAAACCAGATTTAGGCGAACTAGCCCTTTAAGTTTGTTTTTGCTTGCTAGCCATGAGGCCAAAGTCCACATGCCATGCTGCTTTGTAGCTCTTCACTCAATGCATAAAGAATATTTCCCACAAGACAAGTGAACAGCAACTACCTCTTTTTTTTAGAAGAAGAAATATGTCCTCCAGAAGGCAAATGGACCATCTACAGAGAACAGCGAACAACTCCAGACAAAATGTAAGTTGATATTTTGTATTTGAATACATCAATATGTAATGTATTCATTACCTGTGCCTCTTACTAACAGTGTAATTTACTGACAGTCCATCCAAAGATTATTAACACACTCATAAACTCTGCTCTCTTCCTGTGAATGTGTGTATTTTGTGCTTGACCGGCTAACAACAGGTTCTGTATCCAGCTAAAGTATGTGGCATTATAAATGAGTCGGAGATGGTGAAACGTTTGAGAATTGCTGTCCATCCAGACTTCACCTTCAAAGCGGGACAGTGGTGAGTAGACACTAGCATTAACTTGTTGTCAGATGAAGGAACACTGTCACATTGTGTTGTGCCACCTGAGGTACTGCATCATGAGTGGGAAAAGTTAGTCGTGCAGTCTGTAACTTCCCCCTGGAGTCCTTTCACAGTGCCTGCAGTGCTCATAGTAACCACAAGGTGGTGGCATTGTGCTTGATATGGCCTGGTGGTTTTCTTTTCCCACTAAACTTTTACAGTTCACAGGAGTTAAAAATCCTACATCCCAGTCAACATGTGAGCCAGCTCAAATTATTGTTGATAAGAAGAAAATTGTCAAGAAATGTGTCAGATCTGCTGATGGAAGGATCAAAGAGAGATTTTTGTCAGGTTAAACTAAATAGTTGGGGACTTGATAAGCAAATTTTTTTCTTAGATTTGTGTAGGTAACTGCTGAATGCACTGAGTTGCATGTGCAGTTTTGACTTGAAAGGCTCTTGAACACTGCCTTGTTTTTGACGATCCAGAATACTGGGAAATGTTTTAGGTTTTAAGCTAACTTCCGGTGACTCTCATATAATCATAATAGCAAGTTAAGTACTTCTTCGATGAAGGCAGATATTTTTTCTGTGTCTGTCAGTCTGCGTTGCCAACGCTAATTAGTGTACCCTGCACATGCAGTATATGTAACTGAGACCATACTGTAGGTGGGCGGTGGTGAGATGTAAAACCGGCAGCCAGTTTCCCTGCGGTGTCTGGTAATGAATGGAAATCCTTGAGTTTCAGTGTTGTTGTTTTTTTTAGAAAAAGGACTGTTTAGTTGTTCATCTCCAGGTGGGAGAGGAGGAGGACGAGGATGAGGTGGGTGGAACATATGTGTCTTCATAGCAGATCCATATTTATGATGCCTCTGAGGGTTGTGGAGTCAGTGTCTCTCTCTAGTGCAACAGTGGGTCATTGTGTTGGTGGAACATTAGCCCAACTGTTTAGCATTGCTGTTTTCCTCTGGGGGTACTGTGCCTTGTATGTTGATGGACAGACCCGACCATGTTGTGTGTAAGACCGGGATGCTACACATTGTTTAAACTAACTAGCAGGCAACTTTCCATCTGGTGTGGTTTTGTTCTACTTGGTTTCAAGAACAGTTCTGCCCCCTTCACTGAGGTCAAAGGGCACCACGCAACAATACATCCATGGTTAGACTTAGCATTGTCACGTCAGAGTGAAGAACAGGAACAAATTTTCAACTCCTAATAGCTTTAGCTTCACTAATTATCTAATTAAGTTCAAACATCCAGAATAAATCAGTTGACATATTAAATAATTAAGTTATGATTTAATTGTTTTGTTTTTTTTGTGGCTGTGTGTGCAGGGTAGATTTCTTCATTCCCGGCGTAGAGAAGGTGGGAGGTTTCTCCATGTGCTCCAGTCCGGGTTTGCTGCAGAGGGAAGGCATTGTTGAACTGGCTGTCAAATACACCAAACACCCCCAGCGCTCTGGGTCCACACCACAGTGAGTGGGGCAGTCATTTTCCCTATATATCTGTCTAATGTTTTGGAAGATTACACTGTTAGCATATGTATGAGATAGATGGTGAAACAGTGTGAATGTGAGAGCGCAACAAAAGCATCACAGTGTTATAGAGTTAGGAAACCAGCAGTGCCACATAATCACACTGTTGGGTATTCTAAAAAGTTAAGTGAAATTAAAAGTTTGTGATACAATCCCAATAGAACATTCTTACAATTTTATTATTTCTTCCCCTGTGTGACGGAAAGGCAAGAGCAGTCACCTCACCCAGATTCGAACCCGGGTCTACAGGGTACCAAACATGCAACTTGACCGCAACGTCAAAGAGCCAGGCTCGTTGGTATGGCAGTCACAGCGCATACTCAACTGTAGTGACGGTGGTCCGTCACACCCTGTTCATATTTTTCTTTTAGGCTTTTGTTACCTAACGTGAATTGACAAATTCAAAATTGCCTGTGTAGTTGCTCAGAAGTAGAATTGTGGTAGTAACACTAAAACTCAAGCAAGACATTCTGAAAAAGCCTGCACACAGGGTAAATAAAGGTTGTGTGAATACATAAATGGAGGAGTAACAATTGAAAGCTTTGAAGTCTTTGCTCCCTTCATCATATGTTTATATATTCTAATCTATTAATTTTTAGAGCATTACATTGTACTAGGACATGCTCCAAAAGGTAGCTTTTTAGTGTGCGCGAGTAGTCGTGTGAATATGAACAATGTTTCCCTTCCATTTTTGTACTCTGTTTGTTTGCAGCTTCTGTGTTTGATGATGGGCCTTAATAAATAGCTTTGAGCAAATGAGTAAAGCGTGTAAATAAGTATCAGAAAGCACCGTGATGTGTTCTGAGACTTACAGCGCTCTGCTCTGAGATCGCTTGATGAGCCATGTGTTTGATATTGCGCTCCGACTCCTCTCTGCGAGCAGGAATAGTGTGGGGACCGTGATGGCAGATTAAGAGTGCGAGCATTACGTGTATGTGTGCTCATGTGTACAAAAGCATATTCACTGCTCCTTTTGACTTCAAAAGACCTTCTCTGCGCAACTTGGGAAATCACTTCCAACCATACCATAGGTTTGTTGTGCATATGCATGCTGATCTAAAAGTGTCTTTTTACTATTTCCTGAGGCTTCGATGTTGTTAAAGCAATGCTCTAAGTTTCCTTGGAATATATTTCATATCTAAAAAGGGATTTCAGCTGCTGAGCAAAGAGAAATATTGGGAGCCAGCTCAACACAGTCTGTTATCTCCTTTTACCTTTTTCTGAGTCTGTCTTTTTCATTTTCTGTCTTGATTTTTATCACTTTCTCTTCCCTCCTTCCCCTCAGTGTACAGTCGGCGCCCGGGTGGCAATGCGTGTCGGTGGGGACTTCTTCTTTGACCTGTCACCCTCAGACCCGTCCGTGGATTTGCTGCTGGTGGCCGGTGGCGTAGGGATCAATCCCTTGTACTCTATCCTGTTGCACACCACAGATCTGCTGCGTCTGAACTGTGCCTCTGGTGGTCGGGACTACAACATAGGCTCTGTCCACCTCTGCTACAGCGCCAAGAACACACAGGAGCTGCTCTTTAAGGTGTGTCCTTGTAGTATTATATATAATATTAGTCAACTTGCTGATTTTACTGCCCATGTGTTTGTCAACAATATGGTGGTGGGTGTGTTGCAGTGTGTAAAGAGGAACTCTGTTACAAATGTCTTATCTACCCTCTGTGTTCCCAGAGCTCCATCATTGAGGCGTGTCGGGATTTCCCTGACAAGTTCTCCTGTGACTTCCACGTCACGCAACAGTGTACAGATGTTGACCCACACCTCCAGCCATTTCTCAAGTGTAAGTAATCTCTGCACACACACACATTGCTACACACGTGTATTGTTTAGCAGGGATGATTTAGTGACTGTCACATTCTACAATAGTCTGTCTTTGTTGATTTATCTCTGTCATCATGTAGAACAGACACTATCAAAGCTCCACATGGGCGACTCGGAGGGAATTGGTGCCGCAGCACTGGGTCTTGATTAATTGACTTCCCTTTGTGTTTCCCCAGGCGGGAGAATCACAGAGGATGAGTTGCGTGCTCATGTGGACCTGCAAAGGACTTTGTGTTTCCTGTGCGGCCCCCGCCAATGATCGAAGCAATTTCCAAAACCCTCATGGACTTTGGTCTCCCTAAAGACAGAATCCTCTTTGAGAAGTGGTGGTAGAACCTCTTGCACTTCCCAGAAAGTTACAGTGTTGTCCTCTTGGCTAACGCTCCTTATTGCAGGGGAGGATGTTATGGGATGTGGTGAGTGGAAAGTAACTGAAATAATAGTAACTGTGATAATGACTTTAATGTGAGTGCTCAAATACTTGAGGAAATTCACCTCCGATCCCTGCTGCTGTGAACTGTGCCTGTGACAGACATCTGGGACCGCCCGCTCTTCAGCTAGCAGCTGATTCACAAAGAAAAAAAGAGATGAGTTTTATTTATTATAATTTAAAAAGGACTGTAAAATCTTAACTTTGGCAAGAAGCGTTTCAGCTCCCTGCCTTGCTGAATATTGCAACAAACCTGCAACTCCAGTGTCTGCTTAAAGTGTATGATTCACACATTGTGACAAGAAGTTAACGTCTCATTTCGATCAATCTCATTTCCAGTGTGTATTTGCATGAATGGTGTTCTGTTTAAACAAATTAATAGATATGCTAGCGTTACCCCAAATTTACCCCTAAATGTTTACCCACTCCCTATACCTATTGTCTCAAAGTAACTTCACATTTTTGGAAATACACTTATTCACTTCCTTGTAAAGAGTTAGATGAGGTCAATACCCCTCTTGTACCTGTTAGCTAAACATAAAGCTACAGCTGCTTAGCTTAACTTAGCATAAAGACTGAATTAGAGGGAAACAGCCAACATGGCTGTTTATTTTCCAAATTGTCAAACTATTGCTCTAAAGTCCCTAGGATATAAAGGATCAGTGCCAGTAATAGCAATCTATACTTTTATTTTACATGGTACATGTTGTACCTGTTCATCAAATACCTCTGCTAATTTAATAATTTGTGTTCTTAGAAGTGTTATACTATTTGTGTATATATACTTATAACTCAGAGCTATTTATTTGCGGAACTGAAGATTTTAGAGTTGTTTGCCTGATCATTTTTAGTCACATGCGAAATTTACACATGTATTTTTAGAGTCAAAAACAGTCTCCCACATATTGGCCAGTGGCCTGTTTTACTCACTCTCACAGTTACATGCATACACAGCACATATCCCAAATACACACTTCCACATACCCAAACTGTTTCTCAACCCGAGGTGGAGCGAGTATCCCATGGTGCACTGTAATGGAACCTCCAGGTGGTCTCTGGTCGGCTTGGATCACTGAACATCCCCCTGAGATGGTTGCAAGCTTCTTCTTCTTGTCTCAGTAGGGGGGGTTGCACTGTCAAAACTCATTTTCGAGTTGTTTCTGTGTTCCTCATGAGGAAATTGTGTATCCTGGTAAAATGAGATTAAACAGGAATAAAGGAGTCTGTTTTCCACCACTTTATTGACCTCCGCTTTTCTATAAAGACTTACATGTCACACTACTTACACACAACATGATGTGGTCCCAGAAATAATTAATAAATTGTTGATTTCTAATTTACACATTTTCTGATGATGAAAGGTCTGCTCTTTTCACTTGCTTCTTGTAGAATCTAACCAAACAGACACATTTTTGTTTGAATCAGCCAGATTTGTCTCTGAAATGTCTGCTACCACTCAGTTACAGTGGAGGTAAATAGACATTTGTGATGCTCCCAGCATTGGAAAAAATTGCATTAAAAAATGACCAAAAAAGTGTCTTTCCAGAAGCAATGTTCCAGTTACTCTGGATAACAGACAGACCTCGAAGTAATCAGTTTCCATAGGAACGGTTTTCTACTGTAGAAATATACTCAAGAAAACAGTCGTCCATGTGTTGTGTGTGTTATGTGGGGTATCCGGGAGATTGCTTCTGGAAAGAAATGTTTTAGTTTTGATTTTTTTTTATGTAATGAGCAACACAAACAAAATTCCTTTCACCTACATTGTGTTAAGTTGAAGAAATCTAAGATGGAAGTCTCAAAACCTGACCAAAAGACTTGACTACAGTTAAGTGACAGAATCTTTTTTTTTTTTTTTGTAATTTACATGAACTGAACCTTTAACTTTAGGCCTAGTAAAATGTGCCATCTAACATCTCAATGCAGTGTAGAGCCTAACCGATACCCAAAAGAGAATTTTAAGAACTATATATCGGTCGATATATCGTTTGCAGTGTACTACACACCAAATTTCCCCCTCTTGTTTCTATCTTAAATTATATACTTTACATATAAAAATACAGCAAACCCAGTGAAATCAGTTGTCCCTTTTTTAAACAGTCCTATTACAAGAAAGTAGTAAAATACAACAATGGGCAAGAAAATAATACTTAAGGCTTGGACTGGAGGTTGTACTCCATAGCCTGGTACGGTTTAATTTCATATAAGGATACATCAAATAGCAACACTGACCCAAAGCAGAGAACTGCACAATACTTTCCCATTTATGGGAGCTACAACCTCAAAAACTCAGTGTTTACGCCGTAAACAGCAGACTGAAGCAAAACATGATGACTAGTAACAGTATGACTGGCTACATCTGGTTCGTCCGCAGAGGAACTAAAAATCCAGATCAACAAAATGTTATTTAAAAGGCTTTTTTTTTTTTTTTCCTCCAAGTGCTAAAAAGGTCTCAGCTCCCACATGCCTGCTTTGTGCCCAATGTGTCAACAGACACCGGAAAACAGCTGCTGTTTGATCCTCTCTTCTGTCTTCACCTCCTCCTTGACCCCTCCATCATCTCTCTGACACACATCTGTCCATCTCACCAACTTCTCCTGCTTGGACAGTGGGATCTCATCAATGTCGGTTTCCTCTTCCTGCTCTTCAACAGAAGCCTTGCTCCCCGATAGGAATGAGACGTCCTTTTGATGCCGTGCATCCTCTTCACTCTCCTCACGGCCTTCCTGAAGGCTCACTCCTTCGCTCTTTCCCCTGTCCCTGCTCTTCCTCCCCTCTGCCTCTTCTGTGTTTTTTCGTAACCTGTCCATCTCTGTCTCCATCACAGGGGACCTGTTCTCGCTCTCATCTTGCATATCTCCAGTAGATTTTTTCTTTGCCTTGCTACGACCCCTGAGGTTCAGCATCTGAAACCAAATAGATGTGTTTGAGACAGTTTTGGGCTTTGTGCAGTGTATTTTTCTTTCCATCTCTCCAGACACCTGACAAACCACAACAAAGCCTCTTTCATTGACGCCTCTCTCCTGTACAGTTTGAGGATGACTGTTTGCCTATTATTAGACTTTTCCTGAGCTGGTTTATATTTGCTGTACATCCCATATTTAGTAACATGACTTTTTAATGGAACCTTCTGTGACATAAAGTCACGTATCCTAAAGGCACAACAGACACAAGTGACAGATTTGCTGCGAAGATGGAAGACAAGGCGGAACAAACCTTGAAGTCTTTTCTCTTGCGTTGCAAAATGGGTCTCTGAAGGAAGAGGATCTGCTTGGTCGACAGACTCCCGTCACTGCAGAAAGAAGAGAGCAGCACTTTTACCACTGTTACCTGTTATAATCTGAGGAGCTTGCATATCACTACATGGATTGAAATCCAGTTTCTGTTCACTGCGGTTGGCAAAGTGACAGGTTACAAGACAACAGCACATCAGCGACTGTGTTTTTGTTCGCAGCGCCGACAGACTTCAAAAGCAGTTTCATGTTGAGAGGAGCATATGATCATGATTTGTCAGATCTCGAACCATCTGTCATGTGTATCTAAACTACGCTGTCAGCCCTAATCCCAAAAAAATGAGACAGGCATTGTAATTAGTCTTACTTTGTGATTTTAGCTTAGTTATTCAAAGTGACTGAATGTAAAGTAAAAAAAAGAGTTTAGTAGAGATGTGAGTTTATGGTTGCAACGGTGTTATCTTGGTAGTGAACTGTACCTGTTGGTCTTGACAATTGGTGTGGGTAACACACACATCAGCTTCCATCCATACTGAGCCAGAGACTGGAGCAAGGGGATGTAGTCTGTCTTCACCACAACACCCTGGAAAAGAGACAGAATATCGCTTAGACGTATACGGTCCAAACGCACACAAGGAAAACTGCACAAACACATTACAGCACAAGTGCAGGTAGGCACATTTAAGCTCGGCACGCTACTTTCCATCATCTCCACTCTTATGTAATGTTTGACAGAAGGCAGCTTAAGTCTTCAGTCACAAAGAATTTCTCAAAGTGCACATCTTCTCCAGAGTATTAAAAACTCAGACCCACATCAACAACGGTCCATTGCTCAACCACGATGGCGTCGTAGGAAGTGTTTGTGGTTTCCTCTGCGGAGCTCTGGAAGATGAACACACTATCCACGGATGAAACCCCATTGTCTGGAGAAACAGGACAAATTACAGACTGAGTCAGATAAACAGAGAAGATTGTATGTGATTCAGACAGGAGTCACAAGCTCATCTCCACACTCTCACTATTGATCCCCTGCTCTCTTTGGCTTAAGCCTACTTATTCCATGGGTGACTGAACAGTGACTTATGCCGTAAGCCACAGACTTACGGCACGTAACTCCATGCATATCATCCAGCAAGATCTACAGCCTGAGAAGCCTTTTCCTCTTGAAATGAACCAGTGAAAATTCTTAAGTTAAAGTCAGGAGGTAAAGTGAAACATTTGCTTTAAAGCTGCAGTAATCTGCGCTTGAAGTGGGCGGGAACAATACTGGGACTTTACATTTTTTTTCTTTGGTGTGCCGTGACTTTTTCTTGCGCACCAGCACATCTCAGAAGCTGACGGTACTATTTTCTGCCACCTCCATATCAGGTTATCTGGGCAATTCACAATGGCTCTACATAAACTACATTGCCCAGGGGGCACTATGTGACGCTCACCTGTTCCCATTCTCACCACTCTGTTGGTAGCTAGTCCAAGTAACATTACATCAACCTTACAAGCCTGGCTCCAAAAGGGCACAAGGAGAACACGAGTCAATCACGAGATGATGGCACAACAGAGCTGTGCTGATCGTTTGTGTGACACACTAAAAGTAGAGAAAAAAATAATGTATCCTGGGCTTCTGCCGATCGTACAAGGAACGACCTTATGGGGTGCCTTTTGTTGAAACGTGTTCAACTTTTTAGAAAGCCAATGAGCTCAATGTCCAGTCACAGCCTAGATGGGGCAGGACATTAAAAAAAGGTTGACATGCTACAGTGAACTCTCAAATGTTAAACTCATTATTATGCATGAATAGTTGTGATTATTAAGTTAGTACTTAGTATTAACAGTGGACAAACTACTCAGATAGGTTGTGGATAGTGCATCTGCAGTGTGAAAATAACAGATGTGAATAAGGGGAGTACTGGGACAACAATTTTTATATTAACAATAGATTAAGTAACTGTGAAAGTGGTAACCCATGGTGATGACAAATGAATGCTGCGTTGCTCTGTATCTGCTGGATGTGTAAATAGACAACTGTCTGCTAACACATCGTCCATATTAACCTTATAATGTGTCAATGTTGCGTTTATAGCTTATTGCTCTGGCCATATCTATTGAAGTTTATACAACAAGACAATTTTATTTTGGCGGGTAAGGGGTTTGTGTTGTGGTATTAGGGGATTTTTACTTTAAGCTGATTGGCTTAGACATCATGGCACATTTTTAACATGTAGCTCAGTCACAGCAGGATTTCATAAAAAATGTAGGCCAAAATCAATGTATTTAAATGTGGATTGCTGCAATCAGTGGATTTGAAATTGATTTGTGAGGTGTTTTTTTATGTAGGGTTTAATGTTGATGAACTCCGACTATCAAATTTGCCCCACTGACTAATGCAATCCATCTCGAAAGTGATCACTTTTGAAGGAATCGGAAAATCAAAAATGGATGAAGCCCTCATGTTAGCGGTATCCAAGTTTCCATCATGAGTGAGGATGCAAGAATCAGTGCCTTGGCACTCTGCTGCCTAGATAAAACACTTCTTAGGTACATTTGCACACCTTTTACAAATTTTGCATACTCGGTAATGTTTATGTCTGACTGTAGGGTGAATGTGCTTCTTAAATGACATAATCAGAAATAGTTCGTTGCTATAGCCATGAAACATACCGTTATCATCTCCAATATGGAAGAACCCGTCAATGAGATGCGCGCCACTGGTGAAATGCTGTGTCATGTGGTCAAGCCAGTGTGTGTCAACTTCTGTGACTAGCCCTGCTTCCTTTTGTACTTGCAGTGGCACCCTGAGTGAGTAGAACCTCAGAGAAGTGTTCAGATCCCCTGTGTGATTGTATAAGGCAAAGAGCTGCATCCCTGCAGGCACACAAAAAGAAAAGGAAAATGGACAATTGGACAAATAGAGTTTTGCATGATGATGATTTGTCCATTGTCGCCACTACAAACAGGAAACAGGTTACTTACTAGCCTGCGCTGGTGGTGAAGTTGAATTCTCATCTTTCTCTGAACTCTTGAGCCGGATATGGTTGTTGTTGTTGTGTGTCGTCACCCTGCTTTCCCCGTCTGTACAGGTAGAGTTGGACTTTCTTTCATGGTTTCGATCCAGTTCTGGAGAGCTGAGCCAGCTGTCGGAGCTTGAACTTTGTCTATCTCTCTGGTTGGAAAGGTTAAAATGTTTCTCTGTGGATTCTTTGAGGTCTGGTAGTTGGTCCCTCTGCTGTCTGATTATACCTGCAGCTTCTGGAGGGCTGGGACACAGCTGGTTCCCTTGGGCTTCTGCTGGGCTTTGATGTGGACACCCAAGAACTGTATCTCTCCTGGGTTTGCTGTGATCTTGAGGTTGGTTTGTAGATTCTAGTGACTCTTTGAGGCTGATCTGTAAGGTCTGGATTTGCTCACTGGACTCTTGTTGGTTAAGCTCTGTACTCTGGATGGGTTTCAGAGGACTGAAGTCTGGTTCTCTTGGCACCAAAGGCTTGTGGTCCTGTGTGTTATGTTCTGCGCTTTCATGATCTAACTCTTGAGGTTCAGAGTGGTTATGGTCAGATTCTATGTCATTATGATGTGGTTCTGTAGGATCTGTTGGGCTGGTGTTGGCACTAAACGGGTGTCGATGAATGGGTGAAGGGCTTGAATGTAAAGAGGACAGCTCCTCAGGATCCCAGTGCCCCAAGAAACAGGGTCCTCCGCCTGGCTGCTGGAGAAAGCCCACAAACATCACCCCTTGCTCTGCTACATCCTGGATCTATAGGGGTGACATGCACACACATTGTTAATATCCGTAAACACCTATATTATTAGAATACATTAGAGTGACGCATAAATATAAAGGATGTCATTCACAGCGCCACAAATAAATTTGCAGTCTCTTCTTCTGTTCTCAGACAAACAAAGCCTCATTTACACACAAACAAAGGCTGACGTACGCAGAGCAGATTTTCTGCAAAATAACAACCTACCTAATCATCTGCAAAGATCAAATATTCAAATGACAAAAGGACCTCATTATCTCAATGCATCCGTGTGTGTACGTGTGTGCGTGTGTGCGTGTCGCCCTCTCTCCCACGGAGCTCTGGTGGTTAATTGTCAGTTGATATTTGGGCTGACAGTTTTAGACAGACTCAACGGGAGAGAAATCAGATTGCAAACTACCACCAAACAATAATGAGACACATCTTCCCCTATTACCCACTACTTTTGACACTTCACTCATCCATACACACTCATCATATATATATAAAGAGTCTCTCTATTACCATCCAACACACTAGCAATTACACACATACTCACACTGTTTTATCTGATGAGTATGTCCGAGGACAGATTGAGAGTGGGTGGGATAGTGAGTGGTAGGGAAATTAGAAGTACAGGATTTCAGAACTGAACGCACGCACGCACGCACGCACCAGCCTGTCACTGTCTGCCCGGTGCTGCTCCTGGGTTCTTATCTCTAACTCTCTCTGGCAGTTTGTGATCTGATTGGTTATTCATGTCACGCTGCTGAAGCCTATCACATTATACTCAGTGATGTGCATTTCCATCCAATCAGGTTTCCCTTTGTGCTCTATGGGTGTTCAGATGCAAATCTATTCAATAGAGCACATTTTCATTTCCCATTGTGGGACTGCTGGCAAATTCATGAGCAGGGAGAGTAAAAGTGAGTTTCACAGCTGATAAATGCCAGTGATGACGCTGTGGTTGGCAGGGTATCACAGGGTTAAGGTCTCACTATAGTTCATCATAACTTCTGTAACCTTCCATTTATTATATACTGTAGCTCCTCCTTCTGTTTCCTAGTTACACTAAGAAGTCTTACACTCTGAGCAGTGTCACAGGAGATGCAACTAGTGGGAATCCGGTGATGTTAAAAAAATCCTTCCAATCAGGTAAATTTGCAATATTTGAAATGGAAAACCTCTAATCAGATTTGCTCCATTTGAATTGGACAAGCGCTGCATGTCAGGACCAGAGGCAGGGTTACCATATGGCGCAGACAGCCAATTATAGGCAGTTGCCTGTAGCCTTTGGAGCCCCGTAATGTTTCTTTCACTGTCACAGTAGTGCTGCGCCAACATGAAAGGCACACATGAAAACAATGTAACAAGTAGGGAGACAGAGAAGGAGGGAGGGGTGGATTGTTAAAGAGTACTCCACCGATTTAGCATTGCACTCTTTTAACATTGTCAAAACCCTGTCACTCATGACATTGGAAAAAAAAAAAAAAGTATCAAAATCAACACAGCCAAACTAGATACTGTTTTTATTCCACACATATCTTCCTTGTCAAAACCAGCCACCTATAATACCCATAATGCAACTTTACCACCGACAGTTCAGCAATCTAGCCTCAGTCTGGGGGCCACAAAAGGGGTTGAAACTTTTTCACATTTGTAGTAGTACCCCCAAAGACCTGTAAACGGTGGTCTTTGCAGTAATTTTAATTAATTAATCAATTTTAGCATGTTCATGCCATTATCAATCATAGTATTAAATGGACTTAGTAGTATTAAGTTCCACCATGGTATGGTACATTGTAGTGTACACACATGACCATAATCAACAGTAGACATGTAGCATTTTCCAACATGAGTTGGCACTGGCTCCTATAAATCTGGATTTTGATTTTAGAACTTCTACTATTCTGGTTAGCTGCCTTTTGCTATTTTATTTGAAAGATATCGCACAGTTCAATTTTCTTATGCCATTTTGAAAAACCTGGGCATGCCTGTGCAAAACTAATAAAAATGGTTTAAAGAACAACTGGCAGCCAACTCAACTTTTAATGCCACCCTGACATATGTTACCTTATAAAACTGATTCCAATTGCAGTGAATTATACACATTTTAAATTTGGAAAAAAAGAGAGCACTGGTATCAGATCTGCACCTGCAGATACCCAGAGCTGAGTTATCTGATCTGTGCATACCTAACACTCCCACCGGATTAAACAAATAACAAGAATAAATTTAAAATATTTTTCTCATTCTGCTTTCCTATAAAACATTCAATTCCCTTCAGTTAGATTTGTTGTTGCATGTTTTCACTAGAAGGCATTCTAAAAATGTTTAGCCCCGACCTTGCGTAGGTGCCTTAAAGCCATATAGTGCACAAAGAGCCTATTTGACCTACCCTGGAAAAAAATAGAAACATAACTTGTAGAACATTGATTGAGAAATACAAGAGCAAACATTGTTCTTATCGCAAGCTTCAGGCATTTCTATTTGAAGACAACGAGTGAATCAACAAGCTTTGTTGGCATGATTGCACTCCCCCTTGAACTCACCCTCTTGACATAGCTCTGGATCACTTCTGGGTCAGCCACCTGGTGACCTGCCACACACACATCTGTCTCTAGACGATGTCTTCCCCACCTCAGTTGGCTCTTCTCTGAACTACAGTGTGAGAAATGAAAGAATTTAAACAAATATCCACCATAAAGCATCAATCATGTCATTTAGTTCAGTTCAATTCTGCTTTTATGAACCAGAAAATGGAAAATGTTCTCGTACTGTTATAATATTACCCTGGACTGTTTCCTTTAGGTTCGTTTCCTGTCCATTATCACCAGAGCAGTTCCATCACCCAGTAACATTACAGTCTAAACGACTCTATAGATTCTGGCAGACATGCACACAGCAGAAAAATAATGTCAATTCTGGTACAGGATGAATTTTCCATTTAAGGAGCCCACCTTCACTGAAATCACAATACACTTATTAGACAGAGAAAGAAACTGAATTTCCTCCCGCTCCCACTGCAAGAAGCCATCATAAAAGGAGTATTCAGATACGCCTCTTCAGATTTGGATTGAGGTCAGTGGGAAGGCCGTGGTTATATCTTGTGCTCTGAGGCGTGAGTGACATTCTCAGCTAGATTTGAAACAGTAGTTCTATCAGATTATTTTTTCTTTCATTTTTAGGGGTTTTTGATGAAAAGGGGATGGCTGTGATGGGGACATTAAAGGCGGAGTAAAGGGGACGAAGGGGGGTGTGGAGGACAAAAGAAAGGGGGGGGGGCGGTCATCACTGAAGTAAGCAGATGAAAGGATGGAGAGATGCTTTCTCTCTTTCAGCGTGCCGTTCCCCTCTGGTGAGAGCTGGTGATGCAATCAGCCGTCTCCACGGTGACAGGTGCCAGGAAGCAGCAGGACCACTTGGCAGGAGGGGCATCAAAGGAGCAGCCTGGCACCTGCCTGTGCACTAGAGTGTGCGTGTTTGTGTGTGAGTGAGTGAGTGTGTATACAATACGCTATTCCTTGAATTCACATGAAAAACAGACAGAACACAAGAGGATGCTCCAAACTGTAGGCTAAGCAACGTAATTCCTTTAATTATGAAGAGTACTGACAACTAAATGGAAGGTTACATGCAAGTGTGGTTGTCTGAATGAGAAGACACAAACACTGATTCACAGGGATCCCCATCTCTATACAAGAGATACATTTCGTCATCCAAATTATCATTAAGTTCTTCTAAGATGAGTGTGGATCATTTCACGTTTTATAGATCACTCAGTGTTTTGGAAATGTCAGAAAATAAGTGTTTTAGAATTGGTGTATAAAGTGCTAGAATAAATACTAGGATATAAGATCCCTAGGAGTTGTAGGGTACGTTATCCCTTTAATCTGAAAAATGAATGGCAAATAAACAGACTAAGAGTCCACAGCCATGGACAGGCTATACTTTTTTGCTTTAAGCTAAATGCTAACGTCAGCATGCTAACATTCCCACAATGACAATAACGTGCTAATGTTTATCTGATATAATGATTAGCATGTTAGTATGCTAACATTTGCTAATTAGCACTAAACACAAACTATAGCTGAGTCTGATGGGACTGAACGTCATTAATAAGAACTATTTGGCCATAAACCAAATAATTGTATTTCATAATTGACATTTTGACCAGATGATGGCGCTACATAAAATGGGATCACAAAAGTTATTACAATTCATCCTGATAGGGAAACGAATGTCTATACCAAATTTTGTGCCATTTCAACTGGTAGATCTTCATCAAGCATAGTTATTAATCCAAGCAACTCTGTGTTACTGTGTTATCAGAACACAACTGAACGCAGAACTGCCATCTTATGATGATGTCTGTGCGTGATTGCATGGCAGGTCAGGGGCAGGTCAATTTGGCTTTGAGCCAAAAAAACTAAACGAAGAATGGAGAACAAAGGAGATAGGCATTCTTTCGATAGCTGGAACATAGCCTACTGTGTACTGTATAGCTTCATCTGGTTTGAGAGGCTGCATTGTTTTCAATTACTTTTAATAACCAGTAATAAGTAAAGTAATATTAATTCTTCAAAAGTAATAGTAAGTAAAAAGTAATGCATTATAATTCCTGAATAACTTGTCTTACCCTTGATAGTTTATAGCATAAATATATCTATATGATTTATAGTGTCATCAAAGAATAACTGGGTTACACAGTATAGTATTATCATGTATAGTCAAAAGTGAAAGAATTGGGACAGAGAAGCTAAAGTTAGACAATTTTTGTGGCTGACTCATCTGCAATTAATTTTACATCAAGAGAAGGAGGTGAGGTGCAGAATTTTGCTTGTGATAATGGGTCTCAATTGGCTTGAATGTCAAGACAATGAAGTCGCAAAAAAGCTGCTACTTTCTAACTGCTGTCTATTTCTGGCTGCAATCATCTCATTAATCTTACTAAATCTGCTACATAAATCATTACAGTCAAAACTGTTTTATTCTATAAAGGTGCGGCTAATGTTGAAGACAAGGGTGTGTTTAGTTTGTGTACCTGGGCGTCTCTCGGACCAGCACAGCCCTGTGGAGCTGGCGTTGAATATGCGCGTGACGAGGGCCGCAGGGATGGACAAATGGGTGGACGGCGACCAGGACAAAGCCCTGAGCGTAGAGTTCCCTGACCTGAACTGGTAGCTCTCTGACCGAGGAGAGACAAAGCACCGATGACACTGGCACCTCTGGAGGGAGGAGAACAGGTGAGAGGGGAGGGAGGAAAACAAGGTTAGACAAGAAGAGGTAATGGAGAAATGGTCAACACAGGTTGCAAATGAGGCAGGGAAAAGTAGTAGGTGGTTTTAAAGTGGATAATAGCTGGAATAAAGAGGAAGAGAGAAGAAAAAAAGAGGGGGAAAGAGAAAGGGGAAAGGATGTGAAGAAACAAAGACAGAGCATGTTTCATTATGATAATTCCCACTGAACGACACCACATGGCATCTTCATGCTAAATGTGAAACTAATTACACCAGAACTATTAGCCTCTGTTGTCCTCACTGTCACCAGGAGCCTGGCTTCTAGAAAACACACACATGCAGACAAACACAAGTGTATGCCCCAAAGTCTTTTGAACACACATTCATGCACATCACACACACACTTTAACAGTAGGATATAGTCAGAAATGCACACACATACATCAAAAGGTTGGAGAAAAATACTATCACATTGCCCGCTTGTGCGTAGCAGCTATCGCTAACACAAAGTTCCCTTATTACCAAATAGAATAGAAAGAAACCCCTTTACTTCAGTGTAAATGGTTAGTGGAGCTTATCGTATGGAAGCTAACTGTCATGGCAAATCCGCCAGGGAGAACGCAGTGTTTGCGAGGACCACCCTCTCGGGGTCGGTGCATTGTAGTAAAGCCCTCTCTCTGTTCACGGGCTTTTAAGGGAACATGTGCATGTACGGCTGTGTGTTTCTGTATCGCAGAGTGAAGCCAGGTGTGTGAGAGAGAGGGGGGCATGGAAAAAGATGAGAGAAGAAAAGGGAGACAGAAAGAGATAGGCAGTTAGCAGAGCAGTATTGAAAGAGGGACAGAGAGAGCAGAGAGAGGGAGAGATATGAGGCTGTCTGTTTGTGCCTGAATGCTTGTCATCCTTTCCCATTCAATCTCATTTGCATGGGTCTGGAGAAGAGAAAATAACCTGAATAAATTAACTAGACACACAAGCACACACAGGGAAAAAAAAAAAGATGCGCAAGCCATCTCATTTTCAATTTGTTCTCCATCATCTGGCGTGTTCACACATACATACACACATATGAGAAGCTGGCCAGCATGTTAGGATACTAGCACATGAACACACATTTTCTCCCATCTCAGTCAAACAATGGGAGAAAAAAACCCTCAAGAAAATCCTACCATCACATCAGCTTGGCTTGGAACCACAAGAGCCTTTCATCAAGCAAACATTTAAACGGGTGTCTGTGGGGACTTATCAAAAGCAGTACAGTGATGATGATAATAATACCAGCTGGAGACAGGAGTGGGGTGAAGGGGGGATAACAACGATCCTGTCATCGTAAACAGTCATTAGCCGTCATTAGCTCTGCACGGCTGGCACTCACCCACCGACGAGACGCAGGCAAGGCATCGCAGCTAATTCAGGCAAGGCATACAGAAGTTATTAGGGTGTTATGCAGCGCTTTAGGCTGGGAAGCGACTTCATTTATACTGTCTGCCACTGTGGGATTTAAAGGGAGGCTGCAATTCCGCTCCAGAATGGGAACATGGGAACACGGCTCAGGGCAGAAAAGCCGGGTGGAGTTTTATAGTGCCAGCTAGTGAGGGCAGGGAAGTGTAATGTTAGCGAAAGAGTTTGTGTGTGTGCCCTTGTATGTTTAAGGGAGTTGGAGATGTGTGATGGAGTGATTGTTTCTGTGGGTCTGTGAGGAGAAGAATAAGAAGTGGAAGTGTACGTGAGCACACATGTGAGGAGATACAGTACATATGAAAGGGGGAGCATTTGCATCCACACATGCACGTACAAGTGTTTGAAAGCGAGATCCGGCACGCGCATCCAAATGGTGCACACGTTTCGCACACGTAAGACGCGGCTGAGCCGCTGTACAGCTATTGATCTCCGCTCTGCTATTTCCGTTTCGACCCCAAGCTTTGACCACACTGTGTGTCGTGAGCGACGCCTCACTTTCTGACCCTGGATTTGACAAGCTGTATTCGTGTGAGTTACCCCCTTCCTGTAGCTGGTTGAAAGGGCTTATTAATTCCTAGTACAAATCCCTGAATTTCTGTTTGTGATTATAAAGCATATTTTGTGGTGCCACGTGTGCCAAAGTATCTCTGCAAGTGTGTATGGGCCATCTTTTTGGCGTGTGTGTGTGTGTGTATGCGCACAAGAAAGGAAGAGTTTGCACTAAGCCTGCTAGGTGATGCATGGGGATTACTACTAACAGCCACCCTCAAGGCTTATCCCTCTGCTTGCTGGAGGTTCACGTTTATTTAAATAGCCTTCTAATGACTTTCAGAGGTTTTAGGCGAGGATATGTGCCAAAACAGTGACTATAAAATAATCAGCTTCCTGGAGCAAGGAGCTCCCCACTGTTTTGGGAATGCAGCCGCCGGCTCTGACAGTTGTTGGTCAGCATCTGAGCTTTGTCAAATGGGGCCTGATCTCCTCAGAATGCCCGCTTTACAGGAAATGTCTGAGAAAGAGTGTGCCGGGTTCACAGGAATGGTTGACAAGTAGAAGCAGGGGGGTTTGCTGTGGTTAGAACACAGTGTGGCACTTAAGGCGCATACAGTACCATGCACTTGTGATGCTGTGAATCTTTGCTAGTATTCCAGCGAGCCCTTTTGCCAATAACACTGAAACAGCATAAAGGAACTACCCCAAAAAATGGTTTAAGCTATGTTCAGATCCGATTTTTCAACAATTTTTCATTAAAAAAATGTTTATGCATTTACCTGGTCAGGCAGCAAAGATCTTTCAAAGTGATGGATTTGTGCTTCGTCTGCAGTCTGAGCCAAATACATCACACACAGATTCTGATAGCAAAAATGTCGCACATAAGGCAGAGGGAATGTATATCACTCTTTGTCAACTGAGGGAATATCTATCATAACATTCAGGTGTAGATCATGTACACACAGAAATGTATATAAATACACACACACACACACACACACACACACACACACACACACCAAAATAAACTAACCCACAGGTATACAGTAGCACGGCAAAAAGCCACACTAACACACAAACACTGCTGCTGAGCATTAGATACATGTTGTAAGTTTTAATGAGCCGAGTGGGTCTCCGTCTCTGCAGGGCGACAGAAAGTCATCAGCTGAGTTCAGCTCCTCACTGTCTGCTCCAGAGACCAGCGTTAGTCACACAGCATCACACCTAACTTACTTCCTCACACATCCTCGGATCCCTGACTCCCGCTCGCTCATTCTCACACCTCTAACTCTCTTTTCTCTCAAGACTCCGCTTCCCTCCTCGCTCCAGACCTGACAAACGCTCTCTGTATCACTCGTTTCCTAATGTGCTGTTCATTCTCTCAACCTCTGTTCTGTTACACCTCCTTGACTTTATTCTGCCTCCCTTCTATTTTGCTTTTTCCTCTCCACTCTAGCTCGTGTTCATCTTCTCCCGCTTCTACTGCTCATTATCGGAGTACAGCTTCGGCACAAAAAGGATGCTGTGTTAAAATGTCACACCCAGCTGTTATATTTCATACTCTACATTCATGCTGGTGTGTCAAGGTAACGGGGATAATGAAGATCATAGCACTTTTTGTAAAGGTGGGTGATGTGTCAAGGTACAGCAGATTGCTGATAAGAGAGTAATAGTAATAAGACTTTAGTAGAGTAAGACATTGGTTTTAGGTCATATGATGAGATGGAGCTGAAAATCTAATAAATGGTCTGTGTGAAGCATAGGCCAAATGCCTGAAACATTGAACATAATCCTCCTCATCCTCCCTGGATTCACCACAGGGTTGCTATGACCCAGCATGAGCAAGTTGTTGCTTAGTCACATAGAAATATTTTTCAGCCAAAGCACTGCTGCGGTTAGAGCAAGGCTCATAAACAAACACTATATTATCAGCCGCTTCTGGTGAGTTTCATCACTCAGTAGTCAAAGGTCAAGTTAGAAACCACACTGCACTCATCATTCTGAACATTAAGCTCCTCTTCCTGAGAACATCACTTAGTTTAATAAACGGCCTCTTAGTCTCACATATCTCAGAGGGGCTCCAGCAAAGATATTTGTTTTTCATTACTGTGTAGGAGTCGTCAAGTCACGCTCAGGGAAATATTATTATTAATGGAGGCCAAATTAAATTACAGCATGGATTTGACCGTGGCTTTCCTCAATGTCATGGACTGACATACAGATTCCTCTATCTGCCTCCTACATAGACACACACACGGACAATTGCACAAATACAAATAAATCCTCTTTGCTGGGAATGAGGTCTCTCAATCTCCACAAACAATCAGATAATCCTTCAGGAATCCTTCACTTCTCTTGGTCTCTCGGTCACAAATGGAGAGCGAGAGAGAGAGATGGAGAGCGTCAGGCATACACCCACTCACAACCACGCACAATCAATTCAGAGTAGCTGCGTCTATCCTTAAATAGACTATACTCATCTTAAGCAGCTCAGGTGGCGTCACTGAATTTACCATATAAATGACCTGCCTGCCAGTTGAAAGATAACACTAACTCTGTTGACTAAGTCCTATAAAGTGTTTTGTGTGGGCTTGAATGAGCTGCCATTGCTGTTTGTATGAACTGTGTGTGTGTGGTCTTTCTGTATCTATCTGTGGTGCTGCTGCTGCTGCCCATGTGATTAGACAATTTATCTGCTACTGCCTTTAGCAATGAGAAAGACGAGCAATCCTCATGTCTATTGTCTGTTTTGGTCACCACCAGCATTTTGCGTTGCCAGATCTCTCTCAGCCAACACTACGGCCTCACTCATTTGCCAAACATAACAGGGCTGGCTGAAAATGAAGCCGACTGGCAACCAGACCACTGCCACTCAGCTGTGGCATTCTGCCTGCTGTCTGTTACAGTGTTGTATTGGAAACTCCTCGAAAAAAGAACTTCAGTAAACTACTTGCACCTGCTTCGGCTTGTTGGGGGATATAGTGCACAGTGCAGGCTTGTAGAAACATTTAGCCAAAAGGGAAAAAAAGAGATGTTTTTTAAAATATCTGCTTTAACACTATCTGTGTCTCCTCCTCGCCTCCCTTTTCCCCCACTCCGTCCCTTCCTTCTATCTCTTCACAGTCCACATCAACACAATGGCAGAATTAGTATTTTTAGAAACCAGACGCCTCTAGAGGATTCTCATCAAACATTCTCAAGACGCTGCAAGCATGCACACACACAACACACACACACACACATTATCAGACACACCATTTTTCATTTTCACAAACAGATACACACACACCCCCAAGACAGTGTGCAAACACACATCAGCTTTACTATATAGTCATTGTGCGAGGGAGAGGCAGGGGGAAGTTGGAGGGCATGGCTACAGCGTGCACAACATAGCTGAATCTGAGAATTAGAGAACTCTTTGAACTTCCTGCAACGGGAGCCGCACAAAGACACAACTTCAGCTCATAAGCCACTTTTCGCCCTCAAGATAGTTACAGTAAGAAAAGAAAAACACACAGTTCTGGCAGAGTTGCTGACCTAAACATTTCATTTAACTGGTTAAAAGTTGGAATAGCAACTGTGGCTATTTTATGAGTGGAACACACACAAACACTGTAGCCGGAGTTCAGGATGACAAAGCAGAGCCGGGTTTAACAGAAAACTTACGTAAACAATTATACTAAATTGTACTAAAAGTACAGGTGCTCAGTAAAAAGAATTCCTTTGGATTACAACCAAATGTGAAAGACACATTCCTTGGAGCCTGTTCCCCCATCCAAAGTGAAACTGGGACAAATATGAATCAGATCTGAATGAAGACTGCCTGCTACATCTGATGGCCAAGATTTGTTTTCATAAGAGCTGCATCTGAAGTCACCTCCCCTTTCACTCATTTATTCACTGTTCCCTACAGTACACAGTGGGCACTCAGTAAGGTACTCTACTGTGAGTGATGTCAGACACTTATGAATCATAATGTTTTAGGAGTAAAAAAGAAGTACTGAATTGTGGGACTTTTTGGGATAAAGAGAATAGGATAATAGGATTGTAAAGGAACATTTGACCATATGCCCTAGTGTTTTTCAAGTTTCACAATAATAAAACATTTATCTGGCCCCTGTTGTAGCTAAAGAAGCTAGTTTAGAATAGCTAGGAATAAAGCTAACCTATGGGTAACTTTCTGAAAGTAAAAAGAAAACATAAACCTGTCTCTGCACAATATGTGAGTTGAGTCTAAATTGCGTTAAATGACACACAAAAGGAAAAAAAGGCATGTGATAGCACAGAAATGACTTAAGACATCACCGTGTTATTCATATGCCAGACCTGGCGGATATCTGCACTCTACAGAGTGCACTTTTCTAGTTACTTATTGTTATTGATACAGAGCAACATAATCATTCATTTAAGGTCTTGTTTCTGGCCACCAGCAAATGTAAGCCTAATATTCATTTGCCTTTTAGCCCAACTATAAAGTTGACATTTTGGAGGTTGTCATTCTATATTAAGTTTAGGTTTAAACAAAATGCTTAAATTGCTATAGTGCCATCATTAATGTTTGTGTCCATAACTCAAGTAACACGTGAGTATTTCAAGTATGCAACTGTGGGAGAAGTCCAGTCAAGTCACATGAAGTACACGTCTCACTAGGTTTCACATGCCCAGCCCAAAAAAGGTCAAAGGAAATATGTTGCACATGGGGGTATGCTCACAGGAGAGCTGTTACACAGACATGATTATGTGGATCATTTTATCCATACCTTCTTTCCCCAACAGGAAATCCAGGAAGTGGTAGGTGTAAGCCACACCCACTTTAGTCTCCACCTGAGGCCTTCGAAGGGTAGAGTAGATATTGCCCGGGCTTCGCCTCTCTTCTGCCTTCCGCAACTTAGGAAGCCTACACCCCATGTCTCTGTGATAGAGAAGAAAAGAGCATAAAAAAAAACTTTAAAAAGATGGGAGATGAAAAGAGAAAAAAAAGAGAGGGTGCTATCAAAGACTCAAGTGAGAGACATGGGATTGAAAGAGTTTCTAAATATACAGAACACATTAGCACTTCCAATAGTTTGTGTGATAGTCACACTCAAGTCTACATGCTCGCTCGGCTGCGGGAAATAATGTATCTAACTCTCTTTAACACACACACACACACACACACACACACACACTCCTGGCAATAATACTGAAATATGAAAGTGTCAGCCATTACTTGCTTGGTGGGCATCTCCTAATCAAATAGGGCTGATTGGGAGCGACATGTTTGATAAGAATGAATTAAAGCAGAAATGAGACTGATTTCCTGCCCTGTCAAGCAAAGCGACATGAGACTAGATAGACGGCGAGAGGAGAGGAAAGGAGAGGTGTTAAGCATGTTGTACTGCTAACCAATTTATATGTTGATCCAAGGGTAGCCTTGAAGCACAAAGAAATCTGTCTTATTTTAATACTTTTGCAGATTGTGTAAGGACTAGTAGATAGGACCAGTAGATAGCTTGCAATTATCTACCCTCAAGGGTAGATATTTGCAAGCACAATTTGGAGAAAGCCTGAAATATTTTTAAATTCGTCCTCTCCTTAATTTCAACAGGCATTTCAGACCCTGAGTTGCATAAAAAGAAAAACAAGTGTGACAAACAACAAGTGAGGTGGCTTTTAAGCCAAATGATTGGGAATTGGAAGTAGAGAAACGGGTGGAGGGAGTGAAAAGAGAGGGGTAAAAGGACAAGAGAAAGAGGGTGTGGTCAAATGTTGTCAAGCTAATCTGATGTGACAGTGTCGCTACCCTCCAACCATTACCACAGTTACGCTTAATATCCCTGTCTGCCATGGCTTGTAAGAGCCACACATGCATCTGCATGTCTTTGTGTGTGAGTGTTAATGCGTGTGTGCATACGTCTTCCCCAAAGGCAGGTCTATATCTATATCTCTGTATCTGTTTAGGGAGTGTGGAGAATGACACAGTAACTCCCATTGGGCCAAGTGCACAGGCATTAACTCGGCTAATGATCCTAACAGACTACATTAAGCCTGTGTGTGCGTGTTTGGTGACTTACAGCTTTGACTGCATGGTGCATGCATTTCGAAAGGTTACAAAAGGCAGCATCTTTCGATATATTTTCATACCTCATCTGTCTTGAGACAGTTCACTCTGTCATTTTAAATTTTGCAAGGAGCAAGCAATTAAGAGTCATTATTCTTTCAATAAAACATGCTCTTTCATAACGAGGACAAACGAGGAGAGACAGAGGGGTGTCGCTTTGGGAGAAGGAGAGAGAGAGAAACAGTTTATCTTATTTCCCCTCTCTTCTTCCTTCTTCTATCTTTCCCTCTCCTCCTAACATGTCTGTTCTCCTCTTAAACTCTCACGCCATTAGCACTTCTTAATGTGTCTCGCTTCGGATTTCTACAAAACTGTCTCTCCCCTCATCTGACCCATGCCTTAATCACCTCTTTCTCTCTGGCCTCTTCTCTGCTTCTGTCCGCCATCCTTGATTAGGACAACTCCCTTCTTTCTATTGGTACAATGGTCTTGATTAGTCTGACAATGAAATATTCATTTTTGTCATTCTCTCTTTTTGTGCCCATCTGATTACAAGATCTCCCAACCTACCCCGTTTCATTATCATCAGTCATTCTTGACTTTCACTACATCCGTCCACTTTTGTTTTCTCAACTTCCCTCCAGTCTTGCTGCTTGAATCCGTTCCACCAAACTCTACTCTCCATCTCCATCTTTATCGTTCCTGTCATTACATTATAATGTTACATTACGCCCTTCCGCACTCCTTACCTACAGTCCCTCAAACCCTCTCCGTCCATCCAGTTCTTCTGTCTAATGGCTCAATGAGTTTTCAGAGCTGAAGTGCTCCCCCGCTGAGCCTCTTACAGTAAGTCCTGTTAAACTATTACAATGTCTCCAGACAGACAGACAGCCAAGTCGGCCCTGGGTTATGACTAAGTTAGACCATGCAGATCCACTCCCACATATCTTCCCTCCAGGGCTGTGCTTTAATAAACTCTGTCTGCAACAGGGACAAAGGGCAGGTTAATGTTGGAAGGATGTTTAGCAGGCTTCATCTATGGCTAGTTAGTGGAAAAGGGGTCAATGGTGAAGCATAGGACAGAAGAGAAATGTGTGGTCAAAATACAATAATGATGAGAAGCATATAGGGAAAGGCAGAAATGTCTGTGGAGAGACAATTGCATCCTTCAAGCAGTGAGTCTTTCCTTAGATCCACTTGTCAACTTCCTCACACGTTTTGTTATGCTGTAGTATTTTAATACAATATTTACCCTATGGCAATGCAAATTCTCTTAATTAAAAAACAATTAATTCATTGTCCTTATTTGCCTTTACGCATAATGCACTATGCGGTGCTAAAGAAAGCATAACAATTTGGAACAATTTGCTTACTATTTTGTCTTTGTCTGTTTATCTTGGTCTTGACTGGCCTACAGCCCTACAATCTGATCCAACATCTCATCATCCTTTTCATTGCACACTGATGGTTCCATTTGAAAACAAAGGCCTCCTGCTTTAACAGATGAACTCCATCTGTGTGGTTTAGATACAGATTTCTGTAATTGGATGCAACGTCGAATGAAAAAACAAGGTGGTTGTAGTACCAGAGAAACTCCAGCGCCTTCAAGACTTGAGGCCTTTTTCCAACATATGAGGCCTTTTCTCTACATGTTGACTTCAAACAGAATCTCTCAGTTGCTCTCACACAAACAAACAGGCAGATAAAGGCCTTGACAGCAAAGAACATCCATTAAACAGAGAGAGACGGGGGGAGAGAGACAGATAAAAGAAGTGAAAAACGAGAGAATGGAGTGAAGAGGAAGACAGTCAGGGAGTAGCAGAGGGCTTCTCATTAGACAATCTCTTGTAACGGAGGGTTTTGAAATGACAGCGGATTTATGTGAGAGCATAATCCATCTGCGCTATGCCACTGCTCTGCAACCTCCCCGTGCCACTCAGGGGGGGATATCTGCTTTCCAAGAAGCAGAATTCATCCGTTGCAGAGGGAGAGCTACAGGCGGGCACAGGCTTGGGAAAATAATAATAAATATAGACAGAACTAAATAGTGCCAAAATTAAAATTCCCACTGAGCACTTTATATTGTCCCAGGCATTGTTTTTAAAACAACAACAACAGTGCATATGATAAATATATATTTAAACTCACTACTGTGCTGACAAGCTACAAGTAGCAACAGCTGTTATGGTGACAAATAAGTAAGCAATAATGCACGATGAGGTCTGAATACAAGGAAATAACGTATAGGGTGAAATCCATTACGTTCTATGTCAGGACACTTCAGATTTCATCATCCCAATTTTACAAATTTGCCAAAAGAAAGAAAATTAAGCTTCATTAAGTCATCTAATGTTTAAACATTGTTTGAAGTTAGTGTAAGTAATGTCACTTTCACCTGTGATTTAACTGGTCACTCAGCCTAGTGCAACTACTGATGCCAAGGTTACATTCCGCTGACTATACCATGAGCACTGAATAAGAAGGATGACTAAACTGTAAGTAAATTTGAGGTGTCCTGAATATGGCCAAATGCTGAAATTTTACAACAATTCAAACAATAGAACAGGTAACAGTAAAAAAAAAAAATTGACAAGAACCCTTAAATCTGTTTTTTGCGAGTGAGATTCTGTAAGCAACATTTTACGATTGAAAAATAAATTCATCAGTTCTCTCTGGTGGACATACTTGAATGAAGACAGTGTTTCTAAATCTCTAACATACGGTATCTATAATGTTTCTGTACAGTTTCTTTATGTTTATAAGCTGCTATACACCAATACTGGCGTATCTGCAATAATCCAATCATGGCCAATATACTGAACGATTTAAGGGTCTAGCTCTTGTCCCAATATAACATTTTAACTGCTAGCCAATCAGTTACGTTATAAGTGCGATAATGCACTTTGAAGCATCCTACGATAATGGGCTCTGCTGAGAAAATGCTTGTAGTGCATTGCCGCTTACATGTGTGTCTCCACAACACTGTCTTCTATGAATTATGTTCATAGCAAATCTGCATTAGCATTTAAAGTATAGGTAAGTATTGGTATAGGTACCAATGCAAGGTCAGATCAGAGTGAATAGGTGTATAAGCACTGAAATTCTCAAATTTATAGCACTGGCGTGTTAATTATTTAACCATTTCCCTAATGATTCTCTAACCAAAACCAAGTGGTCGTAGTAGCCTACTCTTAAGACCTTAACCAGTTTAGTTGCCACACACAGGTGGCAATTTCTTTCAATACAAACATTTTGTCTTAACGTTGAAGAGGCCAGGGGTTATAGATATTTTACTATTTCAGTGTCTCGAGGCCAAGAATTTCTAGCCTCACTGATGACTACATCTGTGTGTATGCCAACTGAGGAAGAGTATTTCTTTTTGCTGCATGTAATATAAAGCAGTTGCTGGTTGTGTTCATTTTTGCACCTGATCCACTAAACTGATTTATTGCAAGTATCAGCAAACAAATCTGTCACTGCTGGCTTCCAGTCTCCTTTATTACTTTATGGCCTGCTTGTAAGCCATAATTCCTACTGCTTGTGAGTGTGATGTCTATGCAAGGAATTTCTGGCCTATTAACAATGTTTGACTCTGAATTAACTCACTTTTTATAGAAGCATGGTTGTTTGACAACAAAAACAAAGAGGTATGGCAATGAAAACTGTTATTAGTAAGATCTTGTCTCATATTGTGTGCGTTCCACTGAATTTCAAAATTAGAGGTGACAGACTGAATCCTGGGGAGTGGGCTTCACTCCCGCAGGGTTGGAGGGCCACTCAGTTTCTATCCAAGGATGGGGTGTGCTGATGATGGGGAAAGCAAAGAGAAAGCAAGAACAGTCTGTTTAGAAAGAGAGGAGGAGGGGGCAATAGAGACAGACAGAGAAAGCAAGGAGGATGGACAGAGAGCAGACTGGGAGCATGTCAAGTTACCTGGAGGGAGGTGTGATTCCCCAAAGCAACAAAGTAATCACCTCAAACAGTGTTTTAATGAGGCTGCATGGGGAGGATAAAAACAAATTATGACATTGATGTATGATCTGTCGGGCAAATCCTTACACAGCCTATTTTGCTCTATAAAAAACAATTTATTAACAAAAGAAGACTGTTGACTGTTTGGACTGGGGGCATCCATTCACTAAACCCCAAGGCAGGCTCTTAAGGTACTTGAATCCATCATTTAACATTTTGGACTTGGAGTAAGAATAACTGATGAATTGTAAAATTGCAGCCTACTGTTTGCATTACCAGTGTGATAAACTGGATGTCACTCACTAATGAGTGCTTTTTCAAATAAATTCTCAAGCTATATGGTGAGCACATGTGACTAATTGATGCCCCCTGCTTTTTGTGGGTGCACCCTGGCTTGAAATTACATGTTTATGGTTTCCCCCCGCCCTCCCCCCGATTCTTTGGTGCGTTCAAACTCAACCCCACACACAAACACACACACGCACCCAACACGTGGCTAGGTGATGCTGCCCGTTAACGCCGGTAGTTTAGTCAACGGGAAATGATACATGACAGCTCGTTTATGCACCAAATCTTTATCCTACACACGCACGCGCACACCGACCCCCTCTTCCATCTGCGCTCGGCACATTTACTCCGTCACGCATATCTTTAGTTCACTTCAACCTGTGACAGTGAGCAGGGCGTGGGATTATTCATTTCGTTCCGCCACGAAAACAAATGGCACACAACGTCACACAAATCAAATGACTGGCAGAATGTCCTCCAAGAGGATTTGGCTCTGTCATACAAGTGTTTTATTGTGAAAGGTCCACGAACTTAATTTTAGAAGGGCATTTCCGCCTCTACAAGTCGTAAACTCTCCTTAAAGTTTTTTTTTTCCAAAGCTGCAAAACCTTATATTCCAGAGAGAAAACTCACATGCCGCAATAAGGAGGACAAATAATGTTATGTGGTTTAGTTTTAGTCACTCATATATAGCCAATAATCATCGAAATGTCAACAAAATATTTATAATAATGTTCTATTTTGTTATAGAAATAAATAAAACAGCCAAGAGTTATACTCACCAATGAAGTGGTTCTCAGGCTGGCCAAAGTGATAGCCGGAGTAAAAAGCTTCCTCGCACTCGAGGCTGTCGATGTGCGTCCCTCCTCTCTGTAACGTCTTTTTACCGTCTGTCTCTGTCACGGCTCAGATGAACTGCGATCCAATGGGACGAAAACATGGATCTTCCATTTAGAAACTACAACCGACCGTTGCTGAATCTCACGGGCTGCTTATGATAAACACTCCGTCTACCTCTCCCGTCACCAGCGCGTGTGAAGAGGAGGGAAAGAGAGGGCGCGTTACACACATCCCCCTCTCCTCCCCGTTGTCTCTCACACGCTGCTCTCCAGGTTGGATCCTCTGAAAACACTATGGGAAACAATATAAATCCTAGTGTAGACTTAAATTAAAAATTACCCCAGTGACCGTTAACTGCCTAGGAACATGACAGCAGACACATGAACATGGATACAAACTACTAAGTTTCCAGATGTTTCTGCCCCAGTAGCAAGCTTTTTGGTCACATGTGGATCACCTATCAAGGTTATGGAGGTTAGAGGTTTTTGTTTTTTAAGGGTCTCCTTTGGAAAATTCATATTTTATAAGAAGCGATCCAGACTTATCCATAATTCAGAGTCGTCTGACTGGGGGGTAGGTGGGCTGGGCTGGTGGGTGGTCATGGGCTGGACAGGGCACCCTGGGGAGCCCAGACACACCATCAGACTGTGACAAAAACAAAATGGTCTGTGACCAAGAGATGATGGGCCTGTTGCCAGGGAAGACAGGGAATCCAACCCTGACTGAAAAGCAGCAGCCACTGACAGGCTTTGGGAGGCTGGGAGCAGCAGAGATGGGCATATTGCAGCTTGAAAGCTCCACTCCAACATCATCTCCTGCTACCTAAAAGCCTGAAACATGAAGCAAGTTTTCAAATAAATACCTCTAAAAAAAGTGTTCATAATGATGTAAAAAAACTACAGGCCTTCGCAAGCTTAAATGATAACATAGTTTAACTTTTATTTTTCAAACAAACATCAAAACCCTGCAAAACATGAACACTTAACAGTAAACCAAACCTAACAGTGTAGTGTCCAGGCTCTCTGAACAAAACTATATCAATACAATCAGATGTCTGCACAAAAGAGACCCTGAGGTAAACAGCCAATTTAAATTATGCAGAACAGCGTCAAGGGAAAGAAAATCTGTGATGTACAGCAAATACCAAATGTGAAATCACACAAAGCTGCTTTTAAAGTGTATAAAGTTAACAGAAGACATATTTAGTGCACTTATTGAAAATATGTATAAAAGAATCATTGCTCACTTATTAAATGTCAGTAAAATGCTTTGTGCAAGATCCCCTGCAATTAGTTTCAAACCCAAAATGCTGAGAGAAAGCAGTATGAAGTGAACCACATACAGTGAACATTTTTTCCCCAAAGAAACAGAGAGCACCTTACTTTCAATCATGTCCTTCATTTTCAAAGTGAATTAACAGCTTTCCACCATTTTTTTTGCCATCAAAATGTAAGTTGATTGACGAGTAATGGGGGGGAAAATATTTCTAATGCCGTGATTGTCCTTGAGAGTGAACCCCTGAACTGTTTTGAGATACACCAGTCGCAGCATGGGACAGTTTAGAAACGCAACACACAGATCATCAGTGTGCCGCAACATGCTCTGTGGAACTCAACCTGGAAAGTCTGGTGTTTGACCAAGACAAGAAATCAGTGATATTGATGAGGTGCTATAATGTGACAAAACTGCCATTCATTTACTGCCTCAATCGACACCCAATTAAATAGAATAGAGCATAAAATAAATGTGAGTGCTTGAAATTAATGGAGTGCCTGAGTGCCCTCATGCTGTAGTTAGACAAGTTAATGCAATTTCTTAGTCAGGAGCATTAGACCTGAGGCATTCTACTCCAATGCTGAAACACCCAGATTGCTGTCGAGACATTGTTACAATATACAAATATATAAACATACCTTTTATGTACAGAGAGCCCTTGCAGAGGCTTAAAAAGCCCCAACAAAACAAACATTTAAAATAATTCCAAAAATAAATAAAAAATAAAATATAAATAGCCACAAAGGGTGAGCTTAAAAGTCTTTTCCATTTTTGTTTGGAATAATTAACAAAAGAAAAAAAAAAAGAGGAATGTGAGCCCATATATCATCTGGTACAGCGAGGGTGCTCTGCTCTTCCTGTGCAATTGTTACTGTGATCTATGTGGGTTAAAAGCAGTTTGACCACACATCAGTGGTCCCTACAAGTCGTGGTCAAAGTGAATGTGATCAAACTAGTACAGTTAAAGTGAAGAGCTTCTGCAGTCTGGTGTTAAAAGGGGTCTCAAAAGTTGGAGGAAAGGAAGAGAGAGGAGGGCTTTCCAAAAACAGTGAGGAGTTGGGTTGCTTCCAGCCGTCCAGAACATCAAAAGGTCAAACTGTCTGCCTTTTGACTTGCTATAGCCAGTGTATCTAAGGGAGCACATGATAGAAAACCACATCACAAGCAAAGAATGGTTACCAGTCAATGAATAGACTAATGCAGGGCGTGACAGCAGAAAATCATAGCTGAAGGGGAACCAAAGTGATTGTGAAACAGCTAATCAGGGACAGGCAGCCATGTGCAATGGAGGGCTAATGGTATGCAGGATTTTCTTCCAACCACTGTCTTTCTGCACTGATTGACATGCTCATCCGCGAGAAAAGGTGTGTAAGCCTGCAGAGTCTTGGTCCTCCATGGCACATTGTTACCTGTTGAATGCCTGATATGACAGCTCTTTGTTTGAAGTAGTGCTTTACCTGGCAAGACGCTCAGTAGCTATGGACTACAGCACAGTCAGCATAGTCTGGACTCCACAGTCCACAAAGTTCTGGAAACAGAGGATAACATTGAGATGCTTCACAAACATAAACACCTGCCATAAAACACTGCAAATGCCACAAGTAGCCAAATACACAAAATTTGTACAAATGGAGATTACAAGACTGAATTGTTGAAGCACACAGTCAAATCTTAAGGATGTCAACACTGGCCACACAGCACCATCTGGTGGCCGGCATGGAAATTGGTGGACAATTTGAGGATGCAAACATTAAGGAAATAAAAAAAAAAAAAGCTATCACATGTAAACATTGGCTCTCTAAAATATAAACTATTTAATTACAAACGCAAACATTACTAAACAATCAACAAAATCCAGTGGAATTTGAATGTCTCAAATTTTTTTGCCAATGTCTTCCCACAGGCCTTACGAGGTACTCAAATGACAAGTGACTTGCGTAGCTTTGAAACCTAATTCTACTGACATCTACTCCTATTCCCACTAAATGCAGTCACCTGATTGACAGGCCGTGTCCTCTGGTCCGCCATCCAGTGAGGTGGAGTGTACTGCGTGTAAGGGGGAGAGGGGTCAGCGGTCAATCAGAGGGCAACAGACAAACCCAGACTCGCCTCTTCAGGAGATTGGAGTGAGGGGGTGGGGAGGGTGGCGTGTGGGGTGGGCAGGGACAGGTGGTTCTAAGACAGGCTGAACCCTTCATTCATACACAGGAGCATATGTGCAGTGCATAGGAGACCCGGCACGGCAATTGGGGTGTGTGTGTGTGTGTGTGTGTGTGTGTGTGTGTGTGTGTGTGTGTGTGCGCGCGCGCACACACACACGCATGCGTATGTGTGTGTACCTGGTAGGCATAGGGATTCTGTGAGTAGTTCATTGGCATCTGTGGGATCATGACTCCTCCAAAGTTAGAGTAGGAGTATGGCTGCAAACCGAGCAAAAAGGAACACTTTAAAACATGGTTTTGAGTTACGTTAACATAGCAAACTGTACCAAGCAGATGTTAAAATACATACCGACATCTTTAAACACAATGAAAAGCTGCAGCAATAACTAACGCTGTTACTCATGTTCGTGTGCTTGCTAAGACAGCACTATAACTGCTGATGTTTTTGGCAGTTGATATTGCCTGAATAATTCATCAACATGGATATTGTTAGCAATGACATTAACCATGTCCTAGCCAACTTTTATATATATATTTTCCCCATAAATTGAAAAGTAAATTTATAGATTTTTCTTCTCCTTGCACCTCTATTCTTGGCAGTGATAGTGGCCAACTGAGAAAATTAGGTTCATTTATTTTAGTTGTACCTGCTACAACTGTGTGACAGCATTACTAATGCCACACAGTGTTTACTTGGCTTGACAAAACAAAGTTTTTTATAATTTTATCTGCCTGCCTACTGAGATGACATTCCTGATAGCTTGTCGTTATGCCTGTGTTACCTGACTGTAAGGGCTGCCTCCACTAAGGATGGGTGAAGGTTGTGCAATACCCCCTCCCATGGGTGAGCAGCAAGTACAGTAGAAGTATTGTGTTGGGCTCATCCAGGGAGCTGGTCCAACCAGACGGGATGGCATGGACCCTAGATGAAGAAAAAAATGACACAACAGAATGAAACAAATGTTTAGTGGCCAACCAAACATTCAGTAAATTTCTGAAGTGTATCAGAATACATACGAGAGCTCCTTTCTTTCATGATGGCAGGGCCCAGCTTGAGTTTCCGGCCCTTAAAACTGATCTGTTGCTATGGCAAAATATGAACAGGGGAAATATTACTCTCAGTTGGTGATGAAAAAATTATACAATGCCAGTTCTAAGACATCCACTCACCTCAATGATTGACTGAATGTTGACATCTTCACTGAAGTACACAAACCCATACCTAGGTAAACACAGAACAACTCTAAAACATATTGACCCACAATCCAATGCAAAATATGGGGTAGAAGAAAATAAAGCTTAAATTAAGTTACAAAATAAGCTAGTGAATATTTATAAAACTGATATGAAAATAAACAATTCCCCAGTTTACACCCACACACTTTCATACAACTGACAAATATAGAAAACAAACTCTTGATGGAGGAAAATTAAAGATTCTCCATGAATGTCTTACTGAAGGTCACATGACTGCACTAAAATATACACAAGTAGATCATAACTATACATTAATAATCTGCTAAAAGGTAAAATGATGTGTTTTTAACATTGTATCTAAAAGAGCTAATTCAAACAAACAACAATTTAAGGCCCATAGTATTGTAAAATTTTGCACTTACACCTGACGGTCTCTAAATAGCAAAACTCACCCTTTGCAGATCCCTCCACGGTACGTGATAATTTTTACTTCCTTTACAGCACCATATCTGGCAAAGAAGTCCCGCATTTCATTTTCATCCACCTGAAGGTTGAAATTAATGTAAAGTGAAAAACTATATTTTAGTTTCTATACTTGAGCATCTTCAAAAGCAGTATAAAGGGCTCAAAAAGCTAAAAAGCAGTTGTGTTCACTTGTGCACTGCATGCAGTTTGATTAAATTAAAACTGTGGTATTTAATATTTTAAGATCTAAGATTTGTATATAATATAATCTATTGAAGTTACACAAAAAAATAGGTGCAGGTATGCTTTTATTGCCATCAATCACCTGGGACTTAGTGGTGAGAAATTCAAAGGTGCTAAGGCATTGAAAATATAATTTACAGTAGGATAAAAATTTTAAATTAGTACCTTTTTATTCCTATAAATGTGTGGGCAGCAAGGAGGTTGGAAAGCTATTTCTCAGAGATATACTTGACAGCAGATTAATATTGATGCCCATCAATTTTTTGTCTGATTTTATGAGTGAGCCATTTCAGACAGTAAATTAATAATCTAAAGACATAAACCAAAACTCAGTCACAATCTTAAACTGCCACAAGAGTTTGGGACTTGCAGCAACAACCTGTAGTCCAAGTCAGCTGTGGGCACTGCTGCTAGCTAGTTAAAGGTGGACTTGAATATATCTGAAATTATCAAACTACATGCAATTGTCCCATTTTATTTGGTCCTTAGTTATAACACATCCTAATCTGTGCAGAAATAAGTTACTCACTTTTACCAGGTGATGTAAATGTGACCTAAATGTATCTGACAATACCTTCATGTCGATCCCACCGACAAAGAGGGCGTTGGGAGTCAGTTTGCCCTCAGGCAGAATGTAGCCATTTGACAACTTCAGGGAGGGTGAAGTCTGGTTGCTGCTCCTGGGCTTGTGGATATCCTTACAATAAAACAACGTTTGAACTCTTGAGTTGCATGATATAAATATGCGTCACAAAATGTGCAAATTCACACTTTTTCTCAGAGCGAACGCTTCAATGTAACGTTAGTCATGGTCAACTACAAGCTCATGACATTGAACGACTTGTGCATTTCAATTCAACCTAATACAATATAGCGCCATTTCATAGCAGAAGTTATCTCACTACATTTTTCATATAGAGCCGGTCTAGGCCGTAACGTTAAGTTACTTTTTGTTATGTTAATAACGTTATATATTAATATATTAGGCTGCTAGCAACAGTTAACATTAACGTTACTTAACATAAGCAGCAACTGCCCAAATCACACTGCTATCAATATTATTTGGCTCCACTTGAAAATAAGTTTTTTTTTCTTTCTTTCTTTTACTTTACAGTTGTTAACGTTAAGGCATCGTTAACGGCAACGTTACTAATGTTAAATACAGCTAAATGGTGTTAGCCCCGGCTAATGTTAGCTACCAGAGGCTAGTGCGCCTTTTTCAGTTCTCAATGCGAATCACTCAGCTAGCTAACACTCGTAGTTAGCTAGCTTACTGATTCAAAGGCCTTCAATTACTCACGACTGAATGACTAGAACTGTAAGAGTACATTATTGTGCACATAAAATTGGCTTAACACTTACCATATCTAAAACAATTAAAACTAATAAATTAGCCAGACACACTCAAAGGGAAGCCGCGTCGCGTCTTCTGCCCGACAACAACCACCTCACATCAGCCAAAACCACGCCCAGTCCACATGACTAACCTAACACCCTATCAAATGTTAGATCCGATAAAGTTATCCAAAGTTCAAACTGTTAACTTTGTTATCTTTACATAATTATATGTAATGGATCACAAAAGTAATATACTGTTAAATTATATAAAACCACATACTGGGATAATATGATGACATTTGAGGAACTAATCAAATATTAAATAGCCTTCTTTACAATAATTCGCTTTAACTAAAATAGCCTAAATGTTGCATATTTGTTGAAATATCTGTGTTCTGAATGTCTTAGGCCATTTAATTGAACTTTACTTTTTGAAATTGGCTATTGTGGCACTAGTCAAGACACACATTGAAGCTCATGTTTTGAAAAGAAAAAACGCATTTAAAATAAGTACAACTATTTAATAGAAACTAGCAAGAGACCGCTAGATTTTAGTATCCAGAGTAAAAATCCCACCCCTCCTTGAAGCCTCCCTCCAAAGCCACTGCCCTCGTTTTCGTGAAGGTAGACCAGAATGTAGGCCAGCTAATGATTTCATTTCAATTCCTGACCTGCAAGTCCTGAAATAGCCAATAATCCAGGATTTTTCATTTTTGTATAAAAGCATTTTTGTACCAGAGCATTTGATCTATTGGTTGCTGTCTCGATGTAACCAGATAATCAACATGTTAAAAAAAAAAAAGCCCTAGCTATAACCTAACCTAGTGATATTATTCAGAAAACATGCATTTCATGAATGAACGAAAGAAAGTTGAAAATAATTTGAGCATTTCAAATTTTAAAAGTTGTGTTATTTCCTAATATCTAATACATATTTAGGATACAGGTCATTCAAGTAGACTAATACTGCTTTTATTTCTCCACATAGACTGAAGTTTCTCCATTGAAGATGTATATTTGTGGCTAGATGCACACTCCAATATGATGGCAGACTGAGAGAGAGAGGCAGAGTGGCTACCAGCAGAAGGCAGAATACAACTTCTGGACGGTGATGCTCCCAGGTGAACTTATTAGGCTACTCTCCAACCCAACCTAAAGCCTTGTTCTCTTTTAATGTAGTGGAATCATTTTAATTTCAACAAATATATCACAGCATAGTATTGGTACATGTTTGACTGTGGCCTAGCCCAGCTGTCGATGTTATAATTGCGATTGTAATTTCGATTTGAAAATAGAACTGCTATTATGCTAAATACATATTTTGTGCCTATGTGGACTAAAAAACTCACCTCCTGGCTGACCACTATTATTTATCAGACTTATAGGCCCTACTTGTATCGGGAGACAGGGCCCACGGGGCACCGCCCACCACAGCTCAGCTTCCCATAGTAAGGTGGTTGGTGTTACCGTGGAGACGTGCCTGGATGAGATCAACAGTGTTTCAGTTTACAGCAACGTGAAAGCGTTTCCTCAGTCAAAGCACTGACTGCGCATAACTAAACTCTCAGTAGCTTAAAATAGCCCAGCCATTTGTACAATAGAAAAGTGGCAGATTAATATTTTTATTTCAACTGTGCTGGCAGGCTTTGCTGCTGACAGGCACTTTTACATGAAACATTTAAGCTAATGCTACGCAGCAATGAATGAAATCCTGCCGGCATAGCGATACAGAGCGACCGATAGCAGGTAACTGATATTAACGGACAGCGGTGTGTTTTTCAGTGTTTGTTTACTCTTCAGCTGCTAGGTTATACTGATACAAATGAAACGTCTATGTTTTATGAGTCATACGTTCAAGTTATTGGTATTTTTTCTTCCTTTCACTAGCAGAAAAGCTGAACAAAATGGAACGGCTGAAACAGGTAACGTTAACATTAACTTACCTAACTTAGCTAACGTTAATGGTTTACCTTTCTGTTATCTGGCAACATATTTATGGTGGAGAATTCCTCCTTTAGCTAAATAATTAATAGCTATATTATATTAGAATGTTATGTCTTACAGATGTGCTTTTTCACTGAACAATGTTGATATATGGGCTGATTTTGAAATTAATTCTATCCATATGTATGTATTTTGCATGCAATTGTGTAAAAACTTTAAATGAAAAATTACAGGCAGGTGTGTGTATCATATTATGTAGGCCTAAATAAAAGTTTAAAGTATTGTATTGAACAGTCCGTCTTATAGGGCATTTAACGGTGTCTTCTACAGTTTTGGAATCAATAAAATAAAACCTTTTTATAAGGGATAAGGGATATTTAATGTAATGTCCAAATAAGAGTCAGATAAAAGTGTCAGTGGTCCTTCTGTGTGGTAACCCTCACTATTTTGTCTGAACTACAGATGGAGGATGACTCTATCTACAATATGAGTCAGAGCAGAGGATATTCTGTTCCCCCACCTTTGCCATTGACTTGTAATGCAGAACCCTCCGAACTGTATCAGGTAAGAATGTAAATCACTGCATCATATGAACTAGCGTTTTAGAGAAGTTTTGCTCAGATATTTGCCCAATGAAACACACTAGCGCTTGTGCACACCATACACAAATTAACACTCAATTCACTTCAGCTTTATTGGCATGAATGTAAAATATTGCCAAATAATGTGTGTTAAAAAATAATCATAGTAATTTTAAAATATAAAAATAAAGTAAAAATATTATATTAAAAATGAAAATAAAATAATTAAAACATAAACGTGTCTGTGCATGTGTGTGTATTAATAGACAATAAATAATAAATAAAAAAACAACTAAAAATCAGTATCAAATGTGAAATTTAAAAAACAAACAAATAAAGGAGCAATTACTAAAATAACAATCAAAATAATAATCATCTGAAAATTATAAAGTACAATTATTTAATATATTTATCAGTCTAGTCTGAGTTTCCACTGGTTGTACTCAGTTCGTGGCATGAGGAGATATATTTTGCTGCAATGATTTGGCATTCTGGTATTTCTCCCAGTAAATAGGGGAGTTTCTGTGTATCTGATAAAAGGGTATATTTGGGAAATGTTCGCAAAGTGTTTTTCTGTTAATGTTTTATATTTAGGGCATGGGGTTAGAAAGTGCATCTCTGTCTCTACCTTACACCATCTTAACATGTTATTGTTGTATGTTGCTGTTATTTTATCTCAGATAGTCTTGAGGCACAGTCATTACCCACCCATCCTCCAGACCAAATCTTGGACTCTAGCAGTGCCCTTTAAAGAGCAACATCTGCACCGTACACCAAGTGAGTCTATTGGAAATAACTACAGTCCCTGGGCCAAAGACCTTAAAATTATTAATCTCCAGCACAAACGACACACTTTCTACCAATCCTTGGCAAAACCAGCAGGTACCTGTATCCTTTCAAGTCCTCATTTTAAACCCTGGTCTGTGTGAAACTATCTGAGATTGCAATGTTCTTTACTTTGTTAACTGATCATAATTTATAATGTGAACATGTCAGACTGCTCTGTAAACTTTTGATCTTAATGAGACTATCAGCATCAACTGCAGCAGGAAAGAAACAAGCAATTACACAGAGGAGAAGGTAGTTGTGACCTTAAAGCAACACATTTCAGCACTATCTTCTATAATATTCTTTTTCTTGAAGCACTTGACCTGATTCATTAATGTTTTCACAGGGATACATCTTTTCAGGCTTCACTTTCACCTCGGCCAAAGCCTAGATTGAGAAACTTTCACACTTCCAGCAGCCGGCCTATGAGTCCTAAAGAGCAGCTGGACATCATGCACAGCCAAGAGGAGAAGATGAGGGCCATGCAGCCAGAACCTAATGAGAGAGACCTGGAAGCAAGTATAAATTAATTGTGCCAGTTGTTAGAATCTTTTGAGTCTCTCTTCTGACACATTGTTGATCTTACCTTTACTCACACAGAGGTATATGTACTACATCAACACTGGTGTCCCCAGCTTTGTGCTGGCCCCCCAGCCATATCAGCAGATGGTGAACATCATGTGCCGGCTGCCTCCCGACACTGAGGATAGTAGTAAACACCTTCAGATTATGAGGGCGAACATGGAAGAGGAGGTCAAAAGAGATTATTACTTCAGCCTTAAGAAGAGCATAGGTATAAAACAATAAAGTGCCAGTGATTGTTTAATGGCAGTATTGCTTTATTTAGATATCCTATTTAAAGCTCTTGCTTGCACATTTGCATACATTAAACACAAAAAGGCTAGTCACTCTTCCTCTGGGATAAAAATGCCTCCTTTGCCTTGAAAATGACATTCTATCAATCTGTCGTCTATGTTGTTAATTGTCAATTGTCAGTGGACTACATTCTGATGGACCCCTCTGAGCGCCAGCGACTCTCCATATCCAGCGTCCCCAAGCCCTTTTCCAGGAGGCTGATCCGAGCGCCAGTGCCCTGGACAACTAGTTACAAGGAGGCCTACATGTGGCAAAGCCAACATCTGTTTTCTGTCAGTCACGTCATGGTCCTACTTCGGGATGCCTGGCTAAACAGGTAATACAGAATTGTACTGTACTGTGCATTCAGTGAGGGTGAGCTTGTATTGTACTTATTCATTCATATCCAGCTAGACAGTCTAAACATCTTGATCTTCCTTTATATTCCCGTTATGTAGTAACATTTTAATTTAGATCCAGAGGTACTGTTTTGTGGAATTTAAAATTATATAATTATGTATTTTAAAAAAACCTCTTAAAAAGCATTCCAATAGCATCCTGATCCATCTGAAATGAGAATTCATTGCAATGAATATACTGTATATATATCTTTTTTCTTTCTTTCTTTTTTCTTTATATCTCTTATCATTTTTATTCAGTGTTAATCTGTTTACGTTGCGTTGTTAGCAGGGGATTGTAACTTTCAACCTCTCCTGCACAAGGTCTTATCTACTCTGGAATCATGTGTATCTGATTATATGCCAGTAAAAGTGTGTTTGTATATATGTAAGTGTCTTTCTATAAATATCAAATCCTAAGATAAGTACATTAAAAATAAAATGAATCTTCTTTCAGATTTTCATCCTTGAGATTTGTTCGATTGGAGGACCTTTTCTCCAC